TACTATATGAGTTAGGTCTTAAATGAGTCAATTTTGTACATGCAGAGAGGGGCTTAGTATGTTGATGGAACAGTTTTATAAAGGACATGATAGCTTTACATAAAGCAGTAGAATGGGAAATAAGTCTAGAAAGATGGGGAGTATGAGTTATTATCCTAAGTAGCCACAGGGCTTTGTGCTTTGTACTCAAGATTAGGAATTTATCCTATAGACCATAAGTAAATGGTTTTTTAATCCTGGTTTTTCATTAGAATCACATACTGAGTTTTTAAAATTGCAGATGTCTGAGCAGGATTGTTCCAAACATTTATGGAGCCTAGAGCAAGAGTATGAACGGAGGCGTCTGAACTGTACGTCTAAATCTTTCCAAGTTTTCAAGGAAACTACACCCAAGACCTGGTCCTTATTCCCATCCAGGTCTGTAGCCTGTCCTAATAGACTGCTCTCCCTGAAGGCCACCCTGCCACTTGAGGCCTGACTGGTCACATGGACCTTCATGCAGAGGGCAAGGTAGAAGCTGGACTCAGGCTGGGTACTCCTGGGCAGTGGCTGCACCTGCCCCCATGGAGGCTGGGGAATGACTCGGTCAAGGTCTTCAGGTTATTAGGGATGGCAGGTTCCCATACCTTATGCCTCACTTTTCTGACTCCAGATGGCCAGCAGGTTCTAAGCACCACCCCAAATGATACCCACCCACACCACCCCTACCCAGAGAAGGGGAGGGTGGGAGTTCAGTTACCTGGAGAACACAGTCTGCCTAGGCTGCCTCCCACATCAGGGATGTGGGGTGGCTGCCTAGAAACTAAAGCAGCCTCTCTTTGTCTAGTTTCACAGAGCACAGGCAGCCCAACCCCACCCCACTCAACAAGATGGCCCAGTTCAGCTGCTGTATCTTTCTCCCATACTTTGTGTGAGCTCAATTGATTATCAAACTTTAAAACATGATGCTGAGAAGAAAGAAAAAATTATGTCTTCTCATTTCTGTGTTTGTGAGGTTTGGAGCCTCCTAAGGCATCTGACCCCTCTTGGTGTGGTCTGAGGTTATGCTATGTCTGAACCCAAGTCCAAATTTCTTGGGGTTGGGGTTGAGGTTGGGAGTCTTGGGATCTGTTCTAACAAGCATCAAGGGTGATTATAATGCACAGGCAGGGTTAATAATCACAGCTAACAAGGGGGAAGTTTTTTCTATTTAGCTTTTGGTTTTCAGCTAGATGATCAGTATTTTCGAAGGCAAACTGCAGCAGAATGGAAATGAACAGAAGGTGGTGAGATTGGCAGAAGAGCCACCGGAAGTCACCAAGCAGGTGAGCCAAGGCCCTGGAGGAAGCAAGGACTGCAGTGGAGAAGGAGGAGCTGGCTCGGGGAGGTCTGCAGGAGGCCACATCAAAGTACTTGGTGGTCAGAGGGAGAGATGGAGCTGAGAATGACTCTGAGATTTCCAGCTTGTTATGGGTTGAATTGTGTCCCCCAAACAGATATGTTGAAGTCCTAACTCTTAGTACCTATGAATGTGACCTTATTTGGTAATAGAATCTTTGCAGATGTAATCAGGTTAAGATGAGGCCATTGGGGCAGGCCCTAAGCCAATATGCCTGGAGTCTTTGTAAGAAGAGGAGGGACCCACAGGAAGACAGCCATGTGATAACAGAGGCAGAGAGTGCTGTGACTCAGCTATAAGCCAAGGAACACCAAGAATTGCTGGCAATCACCAGAATCTAGGAAGTGGCAAGGAAGGCTCCTCCCTTTCAAGTTTCAGAGGGAGCACAGCCCTGCTGCCACCTTGATTTTGGAGCCTCCAGAACTGTGAGACAGTACATTTCTGTTGTTTTAAGCCACCCAGTTGGTGGTACTTTGTTAGGGTAGTCCTAGGAAACGAATACAGGGCCATGATGCATGCGGATGGTGTTGGCTCTCTCTGAACTGGACAGTCAGTGAATGCAAGCCCTTCTCACGACCAGCCCTGAGCTGTGGGGTTCTCCACAAGTGGACATCCTCTCCACAAGACGCAGAGCCCCATGTCCAGCGTCCCTCTTTGTCATCTATCTGCATAAACACAAGTGTACATCCACTATGGGTTTCAACAGTCCACTATACAAAAAGGCAGAAACAGAAGGTGTTAATTTACTACAGGTTTCAATTATCTACTACATAATAACACAGTTTCCGAAAGTTAAAAAGATTTTCACATTCAGTTTTCCCAGTCTCATGCTGACCATATATTTCCATTTGGTTTTGAAAGTGTTTTTGGTAAAAATTTAAGGTATTATCTTTAATCTACCACAGTAAGAATTATTCAGAAAACCTACAGGAGATTTCATCTCTGCAAGTAACGCTTTTTCCGATAGGTAATTATTGCAACATTGAATCGCCAAAGAAGCAGCTGAAAAAAATGGGTCATGCATTCATCCCATTCTGGGACACGAGCTGCCAAGCCGTTCCCTGCTCATTTTTGTCCTCTTCTCGTAAACAAGCTGCGTGAACAAGTTACTTTAAAAAAGCATACTAATTTCCCCAGTGAATTACACAGGAAAGAATCCAGCTTCCCTCCCGAGGACTCCAATAGTTGTTTGTTCTCAGAGCTCAGGTGTGGTAAAATAGCTGTGGGCTGAAAACACACCCTGGACATTGGCCAGCAGGCTAGTGTGTCCCTCCACTCCAGCCCTGATTCTCACACCGGTGCACAACGCATAGACTGCCTAATGGAGGGGGAAAAAAGGACTCGATTTTCAATTTCAGTTTAATTACACAATCTATAGTGCCTGGTGGGAAGGGTTTAGGGGCCAGATTAATGCTCAGCAGTGCTCGTTTTACATTCCTTTCTGATAAAGAACCTCGTATTGATCATACAAAGTGAGTTTTCAAGAGCCAAATTCTTTTGGAGGCACAAGGATTTGAAAAAGGGGGTGACTTGAAAAAGTGATTTAAAAGGGGGGTAACTTCATTTTTTGACTTTTTTCCAGACTACAGACAAATTGCGTCTTTGAACTGTATTGCCAGTGCATTCTTTTTTTTTTTTTTTTTTTTTTTTTTTTTTTTTGTCTTTTTGTCTTTTTCCGTGTCCGGCAACGGATCGCAACCCTCAGTGTCGCCCCCGCACCGGACCGGGTCCGGCAACGGGACCGCAACCCTTGGTGCTGCCCCCGTGCCTCGCTCAGCCAGTGAGCGGGAACCGGTCTGTATGTGGGATCTGAACCCTCGGGCGGGAGCGCCGCCGCGCTTCCCAAGCGGCGCACTATCCAGTGCGCCACCGGGCCGGCCCTGCCAGTGCATTCTTGACAGTAAGGCACACTTCCCTATTTGGGAGAAGAATAAGTAGAAATTCCACTGTAAGATTAGAAATATAAGCTCCTAGACAATGATGGAACAATACAATCATCTGTTCTGAGAATAACTATTGAATTAAAATATTAAGACCTTTTTCTCTCATGTAAAAGTCCAAAGAATTTCACTCTCTTATTGGAATTAGAAAGCTTTTATGATTTTATCTGGCATCAAATCAATGTTTAAGATTATGAGTAAATATTTGGTGTTCTTTTTTGGTGTCTGCATGTTCTATTAGTTTAGCCAAATGTAAAAAGAAGGAAAATACAGGAAATGAAAATCTGCCCATAAGTGGCCTTAGTATGCTCTTTGACCAACTGCTTTAACTTGTTAAGTTAATAAAGAAAACAGGTCTTTTTTATAAGGAAAAGTGTTCCCTGTAAGATTTAGATAAACAAAATCAGCAGCAATAAACTATTGGATAACTGTTGCCCAGCCTCACCAAACCACTTGAGTACATACAAATAATTGAAAATACAATGATAAAGAAAGTAGGTTTGAAAGGCAAATAAACTATTTGAAAGGCTAACTGATTTTGCTATTGCACAATGATGGCATTTTCATGTATTAAGGTGGCTGCTACTACAAGTCAACATTTACAACTATATTCAAAAGCAATATGGCACCTGATAAGCATTAAGTTTTGCCTACTGAATTTGCAGTATAGCATATTAGCTAAATGAGTTAACTGTTTTTAAAACTTGATGAGTTACAGGGTATTTGGCATAGATTAAGTAAATTTAGAATTTTATTTGGGTGGATTGACAAGGGGAACTGGAATTGGAACTTATTTTGGAGTGCACTAGAAGACTTTGAAAAATGTACCCTTGACTGGTATACATGTAGACTTACCACTCTTCTCCTTGTCAAGGGTGAGTTGTAATTTGTGCAAGAGGAGGAAAAAAAAAAAGACATGGAGATTTGTATCTGTGCCTGAAACATGAGCATATTTTGCAACAGGCCAATGTCTGTATTCTTCTAGTCCAAGGCACAGGCAGCATTTGGAGAAATTGTGGCTGAACTGGCCTGTGGGAAGAGGAGATGTGCAGGGCATGGAATGCTTTTGGTGAAGGCCGCCCCTGGTTTATATGTGTGGCTGCATGTCCTTACACAGCTCTATAGAAGGACTCTGTCTACTTGAAGATACAAAAAAATAGATCATTAGAAAGATTGGATAAGAAAATAGTGAAGCAGACGGGAAGATGCTGGGTAACTGAGTAGAAATGAAAGACCAGAATGAAAAGTGAACTTGTGGTACATCTTCCCTGCTAGGGGTTCAGTGCTTAGCTGTTTGGGAGGGAGTGACTTTCAGCTGGATGAATCAAAACTTGAGAAATCACAGAGGAGGTCGCCTTTGTTAAGGGAAAAGTAGATGAAAGTATCTATTTGCTGCCATGATAGTATCAATGCAGAGATCACCACGTGGTCAGAGGGACACTTACAAATCATAACTGGCAAAGTTCCATTTGTCTACTGTTCCCTATTTTGGTGGTGGAGAAAGGAATAGGGTTGGGGGAGACAAAGAAAGTACATGATCATTCACATGTGACCAATTGATGTGTCCTCATATGCAACAACTAGCATTACCCTTTTTTATTTTGCTTTACATTTACAAATGCTTAATTATTAACATTTAAAACAAAATTCTATATTATAGTTTATGAAAAGTGAGGAAATACCTGGTTGGTGATATGATCCTGGTTTTTTTCTGTAGTCACTGAAAGAGAAAGCAAAAAGAAATTTTACATTAAAGCCCGAAAATTAATAAAATGCAGTACCAATCCTGCTCTTTTCGCAGTCAAAATTCCCACAGCAGTCACGGGCTCTCTGAGCAAGAATTTGTATCACAATACGGACATTTACAATCACTCCAGTAACTGGGAAAACAAAAGTCAAAACTTCAATAAATCACGTTAGGAAAAGATAATAAGTGGAGTGGAAATCCAAGAAGGATGATACCAGAAGAATGCATTGAACTTTGGCAAAGAAATGAAGAGATGAAAAGGACCGAAGAAAAATCTGAACAACAGCCACTCAAAAGCTCCCAAACAATGACAACCTGCTGAAGGATAATTCAGTGCTGAGGTCATGGGGCCTTGAGAAGTAGACAAGGAGACTTGAGGTGGGAGGTGGCAGATGGCAGAAGAGCTACTTCTAAAAACTTTTCTCTAACCTGTGGAGTGATGAAGACATTATTACACTTTGTTGTCAGAGACTGAAGTACAAACCAACAGTTCTATAAATGGTATTCTGATGAGGACAGAAAACATTCAGAGTAGCGTATGAAAGGCAACAGAGGAACATAAAAAAATAAGGATTCTAATATAATAAACCTCAGTCATTGTGAAAATAGCCTGAAAGCGATCAATGTCATATACATCTTAAATAGAAGGAAATAAAATGCTTAGTAATAATAAGGAAATAACCAATAAACCACCAGAAAAGAAAACAAACAAGAAATTTTGTAGCACCACAGTTATTATGTGTTGAACACCTCAGTGTGTTATATACACCTTGTTAAATGTGTCCTTTTAAAAAATAAACTTAAATTTTATTTACTTTAAATTTTTAAAAATTATTTTAATTGACACATATTGAATGTACATATTTATAGGGTATAGAGCATATTTCAATACACGTATACATGTGTGATGATCAAATCAGGGTAATTAGCATATTCATCATCATAAAAATTTATCACTTTTTGTGATGAGATCATTTGACCTCCTCTCTTCTAGCCATTTGAGAACATACATTATTGTTAATTATAGATGCCTACCACTACTGTATGCCCCTAGAACTTATTTTGCCTATCTAGCTGTTATGTTTTTAAAAGGTAACCCGTATTTTTTAAAAGCTAATATGTGCATATAGGACACTGAAACATATAAGAAGCAAAAAAAAGAAAAACAAAGTCATCAACAATCACAAGTAGTTATGGTTTGATGTGTCCTCTGTGTGTATATACATGACATCCAATTTTATACGATTGAAACTGTACACTATCTACCATGCTTTTCCACCCATCATGAATATTTACCAATTCAAAATCCCAAAGCTATATGAGTATTTTGTTTAACTTTAATTTTAATTGAGGTACTTGTAGAGTCACATGCAGTTGCAAGAAATAATAGAGATTCCTTGTACCCTTTACCCAGTGTCCCCCAATGGTATCATCTTGAAAGTCTATAGCACTTTATTACAATCAGAATGCTGATGTTGATACAAGGCAAAGAGTATTTCCACTGCCATAACGATCCCTCCTATTGTCCTTTTATAGCCACATCACTTCCCTCCCACCTCCATGCCATCCTTGTCCCTTGGCAACCACTAATCTGTTCTCTATGTCTGTCACTCTGTCATTTCAACAATACTACATAAGTGGAATCAAATAGTATATAACATCTGGGGATTGGCTCTTTTTCATTCAGTAGATTTCTCTGGAGATTCATCCAGGTTGCTGTGTTTGTCAATAGTTGGTTATTTTTCATTGTTGAGTAGTATCCCATGGTATGGATGATTCAAAGTCTGTTTAGCTATTCACTCAGTGAAGGATATCTGGGTAGGTTTTAGATTTTAGCTATTATGAATAAACTGCTACAAACATTTGTATACAGGTTTTTATGTAAACATGTCTTCATTTCTCTGAAATAAATGCCCGGGAGTGCAATTGCAGGATTGTATGGTAGTTGTATGTTTAGTTGTTTAAGAAACTCCTGTTTTCCAAAAAAAGACATAATAAATAAGTGAAACTTACCAGTCATTAATCAACCAATAATAAAAATATACTTTAACATTTTGCTAAATATTCAGTACTAGGCTAGGTGTGATATGGGATACAGTAGAGGTGTAAGAATCATGGAAAATGGAATAGCAGAATTAACAGTGGGCTATTTGATCATGCCGTCGTCAGGACATGCCAGGGGCTAATCTTGGCTAATCCTAATAATAACCAATTTTCTTCATTTTTTAAGGGCCCTACTCAATCAGATACTCTTAATATGTTTTAATATTTAGATTTCTTTTGTCAGAATATATGCAGAGTGTTTAAAAAAGAGGCAACATGGTTTGTGGGAAAAACTTGGCCTTTTGCATTGGACAGATCACCTGTATTCAAATTTTGACTCCCCAAGGAAGTGACATTTGAACTGAAATCTGGAAGATGATGAGGAAGTTAACTTCACCAAGAAGAAGGGGAAGAAATTTCGGGCAGAAGAAAAAGCATGTGCGAAGGCCCTTGAAAGGAGGGAGCATGGTGGGCCCATGGCGTGGAAAGGAAGCCAGCGCAGCAGGAGTGGAGAAGTAAGGGGGGCAAGAGGTGAGGTGAGGCTGAACAGACAGGCAGGAAATGTATATCCTTGGGCAAGAAAGCCCAAGAGCAGCACTTCGGGGAGATTTACGATCATCCCAAGAACAGCGGGAAGTCAGCCATTAAGGGGACTTAGGCCAGGGTATGGGTAATGGCATTAGAATGGCATGTACAGATTTGCATTTTTATTTTATTTTATTTCTTCTCTGTTGTAGATTTGCATTTTTTTTTTCCTTTTTGTCTTTTTTTTACTGACCGGTAACGGGATTGCAACCCTCGGTGTTGCACCCGCACCACGCTCAGCCAGTGAGCAGGAACCGGTCTCCACATGGGATCCGAACCCTCGGTGGGAGCGGCTCCCAAGCGGCGGACTCTCCAGTGCGCCACCGGGCCGGCCCTGGATTTGCATTTTTAAAAGAACTTGAACTCTGGTTGCTAACTGGAGGAGAGACTGGACATGGTGGCATAGGTAGCCTCAGCACTGCTACAACTTAGCTTTGTTTCCTTAAGGACCAAGGAAAATCTGGAAGAATTCAAGAGAAAAATAAGGGCCAAAAGCATCAAATGATCATACCCCGGTAAAGCAGGGAGCCCACCAAGTTCTAGAAAATAGACTAGATGACAGCCTGATACCTAATTACAGCTCTGCCAATTGCTAGATGCATGATTTGGGGCCAGGTACTTGATGCTGTGGCTTGTTTGCCTTCTGTAACAAAGAGTTAATGATATCTGTGCCTTCCCAGATTTGTGAGGATTAAAATGAAATAAGTATGAATTCTGCAGGCATAGCATGAGAGAGGGGCATTCCAGACAGCTGGAGCAGGACGAGCACAGTCTCAGAGGCAAGCAAGAACAGAGTGTGTTTGGGTGAATTGTGCCAAGTTAGGAGTGGCTTGTGTACAAGTGGCCTGTATAGTATGAGCAGGTACTATAGCAGGTGGGGAGTAAGGCTGTGGGACAGGGAAAGAGCCCAGCCTTGGGGGGTTGCTGACTTGAGGGGAGAGTGGGGGCTTTGCAGGTAGAGGGAGGTCAGCAAAAGTCTTTCAGAAAGGAGGGAGGTGACAAAAGCTGTTCGTGGGAAAGATGAGTTGGGGGTAGTGTGGAGAATGGGGTGAAAGGGGTAGGGGAGATGGGTGGCAAGGAGAGCAGTGTCCAGCAGGAGGGGTGAGTGCTGGGGCCCAGGAAGTGACAGCAGGAGTGGGGGTGATGCCTGGAGCATGTGGCATTTCTGACTAGGTTCTGCAGATTGATTGGACGTGGGAAGTACAGGAGCAGGAAGCAAGGACAACCCTCAGGTGTTGAGCTAGGGGAGCTTGTAGATAATGATACTATTATAGATACGATGGGGAAGAAGCAGCATTTAAGAGAAAATTATTAAACTAAGCTTGGGCCCATAATTTAAATGAACATATTTGTGGGTTACAGAAGCTGACACGGCAATCATGGTCGATAGGATAATGGCCCCCAAATGTTGACATCCTCCTAATCACTAGAACCTGTGAATATGGCATCTTACATGGCAAGGAGACTTTGCAGATGTGATGAAGTGAAGGATCTGGAGATGGAACGATTACCTTGTATTATCTGGATGCATCCAATGTAATCGCAAGAGTCCGTACAAAAGAGGGGCAGGAGAGTCAAAGGCAGAGGTTGGGGTGACGTGGATACTGGAAGGGGACCATGAATCGAGGATTCTGGGAAGCCTCTAGAACTTGGAAATGGGAAGGAAGTGGACTCTCCCTCAGAGACTACGGAGGGAACACAGCCTCAACTCGATTTCAGTCTAGTGAGAACCATGTGGATTTCTGACTTCCAGAACGGTAAGATTAGCGAATCTGTGTCCAGCCACCAAGGTTGTGGTAATGTTTACAGCAGCCATAGGAAACTAACTCAAACAAGTTCCCACGCTCGGTTCTGGCTGCTCCTCAAGGGGCAGGGAGAGAGCTGCCCCTGCTGAGTCACTGCTCTGTACGAGCCTGGTGCGCAACCCTCCACATACGTGAAGTCCTTGGTGTGTGGCTCTCCACATACATGAAAACCTTGGAATCCTTCTGTGAAGTAGACATTATTACTCCTACCTTTTTAAGATGAGGTGATCAGGGGTCAAATAATTTAAGAAACTTGTCCAAACTTACATGGTCTACCACCGAAAGGACACCCAGCATTCTAAGGAATGATGTTGCTACTCTGAACACATAGCAACAAATCATTTTCAGGGTAAAACCAGTCCTGTCTGTCCCC